TCAACCAAGTCAGCGAGCCTGACCACCCGATCCCGTTAGTCGCCTCTTACGACAAGCATGGGTTACTGAAGATCAATATTCTAACCCGGAACTTCACGGGTCCGCCCCGATGAAGATGAAAATGACGATGTTATTTCAAATGATCAAATAATGCCGGGTCATGATATATCTAAATTGGTTGTATGCGTGATTCGAAGCCAGCACTCAAATGTTGCAACCCCGTCCCGCTGATGAAGATGGCGAAGATATACTGTGATGATGGAGATGATGATTGTGATGATGATGATGATGAAGTTGGTGATGATGATGAAGTTGGTGATGATGAAAATGAAGCCAAATGTTGGTTTAATATCAAACTCATGTTTTAAATATTCTGACAGAAAAGCTAAACGCACAAATGCAAGTATCATTTACACGTTTTCTCGAAACTTGTATCTTATTCCGTTCCCGATCAATTTCAAGTCTATGAAACCACGTTCATTATAGCACGGTAAACGGTCGCGCTCACAGCTGGAGATCCTAACATCGATTTCAATTTGTGTACATGATCACTGCCGTATAGACTGAGCTGTATGTAAGTTCATTCTCAATGGGTTGTAATTTGAATGCGACATATGGTGTCAACAGCTAAATTAGTCGAAGAAATACCACCGACAAGTGTAATGCATGCAGCCACGTATGAGCAGGTGCGTGTCGTGTTGCTCTCACAGCGTGCCGGTAGACGCTCACGTGAAGTATTCTTTAGGCTTGGTTTAAAAGGTAAGTAGCATTATGTACGGCAATTTCAGAGAAATGTGATAATGTAATCTTATCTCGCACGTTTTGGGGTCATTTAATTGTGATATATCATACCGTTAACGTGTAATTGAGAGTAACTTTAGGGTTAACTAATTGATGTATAGTTGCTTTGACGAGTGTAATTGACTTAACTTTATATATTTCATATATAATACCCACATGGGCACAATGTGTGAAGCCCATTTATGGTGTCCCCCGCCGTGATATTGCTGGAATATTGCTAAAAGCGGCGTAAAACCCAACTCACTCACTCATATATAATACCGTTTTTTATAATACCGTTAACATGTAATTGATGTGTAACTTAAATGATAATTATTTAATATGTAATACTGTTAATATAGAGGTGATGTGTAACTTTAATGTTAAATATTTAATATGTAATACTGTTAACATGCAGGTGAAGTGTAAATCTAAAGCTAAATATTTTATATATAATAGCGTTAAAGTGTAATTGATTCATTTTTCAAAGACATATTATTCTCATTTCATGATGTTTGAGGTATCACGTTTCATTTTTGGGAAATAGAGACAGATCGCACTTCAGAAGCGGTGTCCAGTTCAGTGTATAAAGTTTCTCTTTCCGAAAAATATTTTGAAAATCAGTGTACATGTATTTAAATCTGTTGAGAATCAGCCATCCTTCATGTTTAAAAATATACAACACCCACGGTGAGATAAGCACAGGTTGCTGGAGGCCTATATTCTCACCCTAAATCCCCACGGTGAGATAAGCACAGGTTGCTGGAGGCCTATATTCTCACCCTAAATCCCCACGGTGAGATAAGCACAGGTTGCTGGAGGCCTATATTCTCACCCTAAATCCCCACGGTGAGTCAAGCACAGGTTGCTGGGGCCTATATTCTCACCCTAAATCCCCACGGTGAGTCAAGCACAGGTTGCTGGGGCCTATATTCTCACCCTAAATCCCCACGGTGAGTCAAGCACAGGTTGCTGGAGGCCTATATTCTCACCCTAAATCCCCACGGTGAGTCAAAGCACAGGTTGCTGGAGGCCTATATTCTCACCCTAAATCCCCACGGTGAGAAAAGCACAGGTGCCTGGGGCCTATATTCTCACCCTAAATCCCCACGGTGAGAAAAGCACAGGGTGCTGGGGGACCTATAATCTAACCCGCAAACATCTACACATGCATCATGATTTTCTTCGTTTCTCCTTACCGCCTCCGTGGTGTAGTGGTTAGAGCGTCCGCCCGGAGAGTGGAAGGTCGCGGGTTCGATTCCCGACCGCGTCATACCAATAGACGTTAAAATATGGTACTTGTTGGTCCCTGCCTGGCGCTCGACATTAATGGGTAAAACAAGGACTGGTCGGCTCGGAGTCAGTATACTGTGTCTGAGTGGGGTATTCATGCTTCAGTGCGGTATGGTATCTCAGTGGGCTAGCACTATAAAAACCAGCTTCAGTCTGGGCTAGTACAAGCAGCCGCACATACACATACACACGCATGCATGCACGTCGTCATATGAGCGAAATATTCTCCAGCACGACGTTAAAACCCAATTTCACCTCACCTCGTTTCTCCTTGGCAAACGCGGCTCGCTTTCTGCCCGCGTACACGTGCACTTAAGACAAAGTAAGATACGAAGTAAATTGAAACCCGCCATCGACTAAACTGGAGACATCCTCAGCAACCTAGGGTGTAAAACCTCCGAAGATGTATAACATACATAATAAGAATGTTTTGCATTCCCAATCGTTAAAAAATGTGACGAGGAAGTATTGTAAGAGGCCTGGAGATGTAGATTTTATAACTGCTTCAACTATTATATATTCTGATGGATATGAAACATTTTCTGAATCAGCTGTGTTTATTTTGTTTGTTGTTTAACGCCACATTCATCAATATTCCAGCTATATGACATCGGTCTGTAAATAATCTAGTCTGGACCTGACAATCCAGTGATCAACAGAATGAGCATCTATCTACATACTTGCTGTGATTTTTGAGTATATTTTGACATTTATTTTATTATTGGGTACAAACATTAGAGATTTGGTGGATATTTCTGTTATTTGTAATTCCAAACTGATTTTATTAACTAGAGAGAGAGTGAGTGAGTTTAGTTTTACGCCGCACTCATCAATATTCCAGCTATATGGCGGCGGGCTGTATATAATCGAGTCTGGACCAGACAATCCAGTGGTCAACAGCATGAGCATCGATCTACGCGATTGGGATACGATGACATGTGTCAACCAAGTCAGCGAGCCTGACCACCCGATCCCGTTAGTCGCCTCATACGACAAGAATGGGTTACTGGAGATCAATATTCTAACCCAGACCTTCACGGGTAATATTTTCATCTAAACTGAAAACCGGTTATTTGTGCACTAAAATGAAATACACTAAATGTACTGATAGCCACAGAAGTAGTTATCAAATTTAACGAAGATAATTTATTTTAATTTTAATTATTTTTTTACGAAGAAAATTTATACAAGACTCAGCCATATTACAAATCGCGCATTATGTACAAAACAATAAATGTATGTATATGTGTGTATACAAAAATAGACTTACTAGGAAAAAAATAATTCTAGGTCATTGCTTTAAAAATGTGATTAGATTGGACCCGACTGAAGGGAGCAAACGAATTGGAATAATATTACAAAATATATTTGATATATAGAATGAAAATATGACAATAATACTTAACGGCTAAAATATAAATATTTGGTGAACTAAATCGCATATTCGTGACAATTAAAGTGACGAAACCAGAATGCATGACTGCTCAATATTATAGTTAATAGACCATTGTCACATGATGTAGACATGAAATTTCACCAGACTGTCGTCATTTGGCGGCAAGTGCTACGTGTCATTCAGATACTATGTTCTCTACAACTGTCGATAGCCAATTAAACAACGTGAAGACAACTTTAACCAGTCAACTCAGGCCACGCATACAAACAGCGCAGTATATATTTATAGCTGTTATATTCTCCAAACTACACTTGTAATAGCAGCTCCTACCTGCTGTGGAAACGTCCAAGCTGATGCCGCACGATCGAACAATTTCCAGCATAGATACGCTCAAGCTATTCGGTAACCATACTATCGTTTCATTCATAACGCCGGTGAGCTATTTTTAACTCGGTATTTCATTGGCTGACCAAATCAATACCATGATAAGAAGGATCGAGTTGGAAACGGAACGAATAATTGTCACAAATGAATTCTGATTATGAGAATTCATTTCAATGGGCTATATGTAACAGTTATGGCATGGATTTTGAAGAGAGGTGGGAATGGTGCTATGGTATACGTAGTTGAAAAAGCTGTAGTAATAATAGTAGTTATATAGTAACAGGATAGTGTAGTGTAGTGTAGTGTAGTGTAGTGTAGTGTAGTGTAGTGTAGTGTAGTGTAGTGTATAGTATAGTAGGTGAGGTGAGGTGAGGTGAGGTGAAATTTAACGTTGTGCTTGAGAATATTTCGCTCATATTACGACGTGCAATTCGTGTGTATGTGTATATGCGGCTGGTTGTAATAGCCCAGACTTAAGCTGGTTTTGTAGTGCTAGCCCACTGAGATACCATGCCACAGTGAAGCATGAATACCCCACTCAGACACATTATACTGACTCCGAGCCGACCAGTCCTTGTTGTACCCATTAATGCCGACCGCCAGGCAGGGACCAACAAGAACCATATTTTAACGTCTTTTGGTATGACGCGGTCGGGGATCGAACCCGCGACCTTCCGCTCTCCGGGCGGACGCTCTAACCACTACACCACGGAGGCGGTCTTCAGTATAGTATAGTATATATAGTAGTAGTAGAAGTAGTGATGGTAGTAGTTGTTGTAGTAGTAGCAGCGGTGGTGGTGATGGTGGAAGTAGTAGTAGTAGTAGTAGTAGTAGTAGTAGTAGTAGTAGTAGTAGTAGTAGCTTCTGTAATCGATGTAGAAGTAGTAATTTGTTTTAGCAATATAGCGTTTCTTCATTAATAAGTTTTCATTGATTTATTACGCACAGGCCATCAGACACAGCCACCCGACTGGGTGATACATGGTGTCACGTATAACAGAGTGATCCACTGTGTGACAGAAAGACAAGCAAACATCGTGACACGGAACTAAGCAGCGTCACATACACCAGATTTGTACCCTCCGTCACGTTCAACAAACGGGGCAGATACTGTTAGCGTACAGCAGCACGATACCCGTGTCGTCGTGCTCTAATACACGGTCATTGTCACGGCACAAGTCAAACCGTACCACCATATACACAGAAACATGGGGACGATACCAACATACGTCATCCTGTTGCTAGTGGCAACATGTAGGAACGCACAATCAGAGGACAATGAGCCGAAAGTTGAGAACTTCGGAACTGTGATCGGAATAGATCTGGGAACAACCTACTCCTGGTCAGTACATAAGTGGCAATTTGCATATAATATTTACTTACATTTGTTGTATGTTATCTTGGGGTAGGTCCGTGATTAAAGCGTTCGCTCGACACGCCTAAAACCCGGGTTCGATTCCCACTTAGTGTGTGGGGTTTTACTCCGCTTTTAGCAATATTCCAGCAAGATTATGACGGAGGGGCAGCAGTATTTGGAACAGCTGTGGTAGTAACAGTAGTAGTAGCAGCAGCAGCAGCAGCAGCAGTAGTAGTAGTATTAGTAGTAGTAGCAGCTGTAATAGAAGCATTAGCCAAACTCACTCATCTATCTTTATGCTTCGATGTTGATTAACAGTTTATCTGTCTGTCCTTAATGTACCTGCCTGGCGCTCGGCATTAATGGGTACAGCATGGACTGGTCGGCTCGGAGTCAGTATAATGTGTCTGAGTAGGGTATTTATGATTAACTGCAGCATGTTATCTTAGTGAGCTAGCACTATAAAACCAGCTTAAGTCTGGGCTGGTACAAGCAGCCACTCGTACACACGTATGCACGTCGTCATATGAGCGAAATATCCTTAAGTACGACGTTAAACCCCATCACCTCACCTCACCTCACCTGTCCTTAACGCGTATCCTCAATCACTGTGTTGGGGTAACAATATACTCTCGATGTATTGTAACGACGAAAGCTATATGCCGAGTAGAAAGGCATGTTTTAGACACAGAAGGTGACACCAACGTCGGTCCAGTTTCGTCCCAGGTGGGGCGTTGGGCTAGCCTAGTGTTTAAAACGTCCGCTCGTCACGTCGAAGACCCGGGTTCGATTCCCCATATGGGTACAATGTGTGAAGCACACTTCTGGTGTCCCCCCGCCGTGATATTGCTGGAATATTGCGAAAAGCGGCGTAAAACTAAAACTCACTCACTCGTCCCAGTTTGGAAGATTCCACAGGTCTGGATTTATGCAAAAACATTTATGCTTTGGGGTGATACCGAGTTTTCAGTTATATTGTTTCGTGTTTCAGCGTGGGGGTGTACCGGAGAGGCCGTGTGGAGATCATCCCCAATGAACAGGGGAACAGAATCACCCCCTCCTACGTAGCGTTCACTCCGGATGGGGAGAGGCTGATAGGAGACGCCGCAAAGAACCAACTGACCACAAACCCCGAGAACACCATCTTTGACGTCAAACGTCTGATTGGACGTCCCTGGAATGACAAGTCTGTGCAGCATGATATACAGTATTATCCGTTCAAGGTGATTATTTCATCATCCAAGTGGGATGACGTGGAAGCTGCATGTCTATGGATTTGAGTGTTTCGTTAAGTGCCCACCATGAAGGGGTTGTGATTTTGCGCGAGTGAGTGAGTGAGTGAGAGACTGAGTTATAGAATGGGTGGATGAGCGGGTGAGTCGGTGGTTAAGTGGATGGTTGAGAGGTTGAGTGGTTGAGTGAGTGAGTGAGAGACTGAGTTATAGAGTGGGCGGATGAGTGGATGGGCCGATGAGTCGATGGTTAAGTGGATGGTTGAGAGGTTGAGTGGTTGAGTGAGTGAGTCAATGATTAATTTCATTAACAATATTCTTCAAAGGTGACAACAGTTTGTCTATATTTTTCTTACATGAGTGGGTGGTTGAGTGGTTCAGAGCTTGAATGGTTGAGTGAGTGAGTGAGTGGTTGAGTGAGTGAGAGGATGAGTAGTGAATGATTAATTTCATTAACAGTCTTCTGCAAAATCAGTCGATATATTCTTACATGAGTGGGTGGTTGAGTAGTGGAATAGTTGAGAAGTTGAGTGAATGAGTGGTTGAGTTTGTGGTTGAGTGAGTGAGTGATTAATTTCATCAACAATATTCTGCCAAAATGACAACAGGCTCTTTACTTTTGTCTTTAGTGGTACGTGGTGGTTAACCGGAATGTCATGGCACAATATATATGGCTGGAATTAGAGTTTATAATACGGATGTTATCAGTTGGATATTTAGAAGTTTATTTATATGTTTATCAAGGTAGTATGCAGTTTATGGGTTGGGTTTATGGTTCATTTGTATTGACAGGTAAAACAGTTATTCATCAGATAATATGTAACAGATCCAGATTAAAGTTTTGTCAAAGAAGAATACATGTTTATCCACCAGGTAATAAACAAGGGATTGAGGTTAAGGTTTGGTCAAAGAAGAACACATGTTTATCCACCAGGTAATAAACAAGAGATTCAGGTAAAGGTTTTGTCAAAGAAGAACACATGTTTATCCACCAGGTTATAAACAAGAGATTCAGGTAAAGGGTAAAGAATACATGTTTTGTCAAGAAAGTAAAGTCAAAGAAGACACATGTTTATCCACCAGGTAATAAACAAGAGATTCAGGTAAAGGTTTGGTCAAAGAAGAACACATGTTTATCCACCAGGTAATAAACAAGAGATTCAGGTAAACGTTTGGTCAAAGAAGAACACATGTTTATCCACCAGGTAATAAAGAAGGAAAACAAACCATACGTCAAGGTTAGAGTTGGGTCAGAGGACAAGGTGTTCGCTCCCGAGGAGATCTCGGCGATGGTGTTGTCAAAGATGAAGGAGATAGCAGAGACGTACCTGGGCAAGAACGTCACCCACGCTGTCGTCACCGTCCCCGCCTACTTCAACGACGCCCAGAGGAGAGCAACCAAAGACGCCGGCACCATCGCTGGACTCACCGTCCTCCGTCTGATCAACGAACCGTACGTGAAAAGTTTTCACATAGAGTGACTGGGTTCAGTTTTACGCCGCACTCAGCAATATTCCAGCTATTTGGCGGCGATCTGTAAATAATCGAGTCTAGACCTGATAATCCAGTGATCAACAGCATGAGCATCGACCTAGGCAGTTGGGATACGACATGTGTCAACCAAATCAGCGAGCTTGACCACCCGATCCCGTTAGTCGCCTCTTACGACAAGAATAGGTTACTGAAGATCAATTCTAACCCGGATCCTCTCGGGTTGTTTTCACATTAATATTGTACAAAGCTGTCTCTTGACTGTACACGTTAAAAAGATGCTGCTGCTGCTGGTGCCGCGGATGCGGCTGGTTCTGTTGCTAGTGCTGATGCTGTTGCTGCTGATGGTGATGGTGAAGATGACGGTGATGCTTTTGCTGTTGCTGATGCTGATGCTGTTGCTGCTGATGGTGACGGTGATTGTGATGGTGATGTTGATGCTGTTGCTGATGCTGATGCAGATGCTGATGCTGCTGATGGTGATGGGAAGATGATGGTGATGCTGTTGCTGTTGCTGATGCTGATGCTGTTGCTGCTGATGGTGACGGTGATTGTGATGGTGATGGTGATGGTGATGTTGATGCTGTTGCTGATGCTGATGCTGATGCTGACGCTGCTGCTGCTGCTGCTGCAGATACTGTTGCCGATGTTGCTGCTGATGGCGATGGTGTTGCTGCTGCTGCTGATGCTGACGCTGCTGCTGCTGCTGCAGATGCCGTTGCTGATGTTGATGTTGATGGCGATGCTGTTGCTGCTGTTGTTGATGCTGATTAGTTGATGCTAACAGAAATATTCGATGTTTCAGAACCGCTGCTTCTATAGCGTACGGCCTTGACAAGTCCGACGGTGAAAAGAACATTCTGGTGTTTGACTTGGGAGGGGGAACGTTTGACGTGTCAATCCTTACAATCGACCATGGCGTGTTTGAGGTGGTGGCCACCAATGGAGACACACATCTAGGTAAATTCTTACCTTGCATAAAATATATTTTATGTCAAAGATGATATCGTGACAAAATGATCCCATTTATACCGCAGTTGCAATTTCGACAGTCCCATCAAAGCTATTTTAAATCGCATTACACTGGGCTGTTTTACTCATTAAAGTTTAACTTTGAGTATATAACATTGTCTCAATATATGGTTACATCTATTACTGAGGGGTGGTGGGGTAGCCTTATGGTTAAAGCGTCCGTTCGTCACGCTGAAGACCCGGGTTTGAATCCCCACATGGATACAATAAGCGAGGCACATTTCTGGTGTCCCCGCCGTGATATTGCTGGAATATTGCTAAATGCGGCGTAAAACCATACTCACTCACACACGTCACGCTGAACACCTGAGTTTGATTCTCCACATGGGTACAATTTACGAGGCACGTTTCTGGTGTCCCCGGCGTGATATTCCTGGAATATTGCGTAAAATCATACACACTCTAGTACAAAACGTCAAAACACTGTCATCCATCCATATTCCAGGAGGCGAAGACTTCGACCAGAGAGTGATGGAATTTTTCATTAAGCTGTACAAGAAGAAGACCAAACGAGACCTACATAAGGACAGCAGGGCCATCCAGAAACTGCGTCGTGAGGTGGAGAAGGCGAAGAGAGCCCTGTCATCCCAGCATCAGACTCGGGTGGAGATTGAGTCTATCATGGGTGGTCATGATTTCTCCGAAGTCCTCACTAGAGCTAAACTGGAGGAACTGAACATGGTAAGAATTGTGCTAGGTCATATATAGGGATTATTTTACTGGCACTAGGTCATATGCTGGGATCATTACATTATGCTGGGTCATATACAAACAGAGATTATCATACTGGTGCTAGGTCATATACAGAGATTATCATACTGGTGCTAGGTCATATACAGAGATTATTATACTGGTGCTAGGTCATATACAGAGATTATCATACTGGTGCTAGGTCATATACAGAGATTATCATAGGTCATATACAGAGATTATTATACTGGTGCTAGGTCATATACAGAGATTATTATACTGGTGCTAGGTCATATACAGAGATTATTATACTGGTGCGAGGTCATATACAGAGATTATCATACTGGTGCTAGGTCATATACAGAGATTATCATACTGGTGCTAGGTCATATACAGAGATTATCATACTGGTGCTAGGTCATATACAGAGATTATTATACTGGTGCTAGGTCATATACAGAGATTATCATACTGGTGCTAGGTCATATACAGAGATTATTATACTGGTGCTAGGTCACATACAGAGATTATTCCACAATGCCGGGTCATATACAGGTGCAGGGTTATTCAGGGATCATTACACTGGCGCTGGATGAGATACAGTGATTATTGCACTGGAGCTAGATCGTATAGATTGGGGTTATTACACTGTGTTGGGTCATATACAGGGATTATTACTCTGGTACTAGGTCATGTATAGGTATTATGAGTGTCTGCAGGGATATATAGAAAGATTATTTCACTGCTGGGTTAGATGCTGGGGATTACTTCACTGGTGCTGGGCATATACAGGAATTACTACACCATGGTATACAAGGATTAATGCACAGGCACTAGGAATTTCATATATAGGGATTACAAGACTGTGCTGGGTTATTTAAGAGATTATCTCACTTAGGCTGTCATAGAGGCACAGAAACAAATATATCCAAGAATGATTATGTAGCAAGTCTAGATTTCCAAAGTCTGTGGGACCCTTTTATTATATTTTATGATTATCATTTAGGAACTGTTTCTGTAAAATATGTTCATTTCAGAGACTAGATGTTAGTCTATATTTGTCTGTGCTGGGTCGAATACAGGGATTATTGCACTGGTACTGGGTCATATGCAGGAATTACTACACCATCCTTGATGGTATACAGGGATTATTGCACTGGTACTGGGTCATATGCAGGAATTACTACACCATCCTTGATGGTATACAGGGATTATTGCACTGGTACTAGGTCATGTGCAGGACAGTACTGCACTGGTACATCCTTGATGGTATACAGGGATTATTGCACTGGTACTAGGTCATGTGCAGGAATTACTACACCATCCTTGATGGTATACAGGGATTATTGCACTGGTACTAGTTCATGTATAGGGATTACTACACCATCCTTGATGGTATACAGGGATTATTGCACTGGTACTAGGTCATCTGCAGGAATTACTACACCATCCTTGATGATATACAGGGATTATTGCACTGGTACTAGTTCATGTATAGGGATTACTACACCACCCTTGATGGTATACAGGGATTATTGCACTGGTACTAGTTCATGTATAGGGATTACAAGACTGTCCTGGGTTATATAAAGAAATCATTTCACTGTGCTTGGTCATACACACAGGGATTTCTACACTGGCGTTAGATCATACAGATGAACTATTATTCTGATGCTAATGCTATTGTTGTGTGTTTTAACCAGGATCTGTTTAAATCGACTCTGAAACCCGTGAGGTCGGCCCTTGAGGATGGGAGCCTGAAGGTGTCGGACATCAGGACATCGTTCTGGTCGGCGGCTCCACCAGGATTCCAAAGATTCAGCAGCTGGTGAAGGAGTTCTTTAGTGGAAGGGTGCGTTCCATTAACACATCTTAGGAGTGACCATGAACACGACTGACCAAGCACTCCCTGACATCTTTAGTTGACCAAGTTTTGCTAGGTTGGATTGTTGTTTGACGCCGCACTCAGCAATATTCCAGCTATATGGCGGCAGTCTGTAAATAATCGATATTCACTTTTTTCTCTTGACTATCTCAAGAATCTTGTATTCCAGGAGACCCGTGAAGATCCGGGGTAGAATAGGTCTTCAACAATCCATGCTTTACAAAAGGCGACTATGCTTGTCGTAGAGGCGACTAATGGTATCAGGTGGTCAGGCACGCTGACTTGGTTGACACATGTCATCGGTTCCCAATTGCGAAGATGGATGCTCATGCTGTTGATCACTGGATTGCCTGGTCCAGACTTGATTATTTACAGACCGCCGCCATATAGCTGGAATATTGCTGAGTGCGGCGTAAAACTAAACTCACTCACTCACTCACTCACTATATTCCAGGAACCTACAAGGGGCATCAACCCAGACGAGGCTATAGCCTACGGAGCAGCCGTTCAGGGAGGAGTCCTCGGTACTGACGAAAACAGCAAAACTCCGGACTTGCTAATCCTCGACGTCAATTCCTTGAGTCTCGGCATCGAGACAGTTGGAGGCGTCATGTCAAAGATCATCAGTCGGAACACAGCCATCCCTTCCAAGAAGACACAGCAGTTTACAACAATAGAGGACGACCAGGATGTGCTGGAGGTCCTTGTCTACGAAGGCGAGAGAGCCATGACGAAGGACAACCATATCCTCGGGAAGTTTGAACTAAAGGGAATTCCTCCAGCGGCCAGAGGGGACCCCCAGATCGATGTTACATTTGAGATAGACGTGAATGGCATATTGACGGTCACGGCCGAGGACATAGGAACGGGAAACAAGAATAATATTGTCATTCAGAATGACGAAAACAGACTGTCGCCAGAAGACATGGAAAAAATGATTCACGATGCTGAGGAATTTGCTGAGGAAGATAAGAGAGTGAAGGAGAGGACTGACGCGAGAAATGATCTTGATCATTACGTGTATTCTTTAAGAAACCAAATCAACGACAAAAGTAAACTTGGAGGCAAATTAGGCACTGGAGATAAATCGACGATCGAGAAAGCTGTAGCCGCATCTATTAAATGGATGGATAGTCACGAGGATGCTTCAGCTGAAGACTATCAGAAACAGAAGACGGAACTGGAGGATGTCGTCAGGCCGATCACGAGTAAGCTCTACGAAGCAGCCGGAGAAGAGCCTGAAGAAGAGAAAGAAGACAAGTCTTCCCACCCTCACGAAGACTTATAACGGAGTGTTTCTGAGTTATCTCCCTTACACCTTGTTTAACGTCATTTCGGATACACTCGTGTCATTCCGGTTACGGAAAGGCACGAGTTTGTATGAAAGATGTCAGATAATGGTGGTGCATTTTAGACATTCGTCACCACTCGCCTCTTTCCGTAAACTCCAAGAAGTTGAATAACACGAGTTGGTCACGAAAGCATTTTAGAGTTAGTTCCTTTTAGCTGAATGATGCGGAATGATATGTATTCTAATCGCTTTTTGAAATGTTACGGTACTTTACTTAAATGTCACGGTACTTTATTCAAATGACACGATACTTTACTCAAATATCATGATAGAGGCGAATAAGATATTTTCATTATTTAGTTAAATCTTAAACTTATGGACTTACCTGTTTTATCGCAAGGAACATCTTTACCTCTGATCCTTCACATCTTTCAACGACATTTAGAAGTGATACACAAAAAGGGAAAATTCAAAGGTCAACTTCTGTAAAAATGTTTCTCATTTTACAAAAGTTGACATCAATAAATTTCCATTCCGATCCGTAACGTTTGATTTAGTAGTCATGAATGTGTAATGAGGATGAAGTTACCGAGACAATTTCATGCCATTTCTTGACAAATTACAGATTTCATGTTTATTATTGAGAGTGTCTGATATGAAACCAACCATTTCGTTCCATTCACAAGCATGCGTGGCGAAAATATGTACATACACACACGTAACATTATGTCATGGAATGAATGCGAGCTGAATGTCTACCAGGGCTGGCAAAATAGATCGATAATCGGAAATGTCGTCGATAATAAAATAATATTAATGAACATCGATATGAAGTTTGTGTTATCAATGATATCATACACTCACGTTTGTGGTCGAAAAAAGCTTTTTTCACAAGGTTAGTTTTTTTATTCATGGTCTGCTTCTTGTTAGTACGATGTGACGTTAAATAATAACTCACTCACTCACTCTTGTTAGTAAGCAATGCCAAACATGTCACCACTCACAAGTGATGTGAAATATATTAATTTCTTTCACACTTCTTTGGCAATTTTGCTAAATTTCCGATATTTATCGATAATCGATCGATATTTATCTAACGGTTATCGATCTCTATTATTTATATCGATAGCCAGCCCTAATGTCTACTATGTCAATGTCTTGTCGACAATAAATGTTTTTCGCTGTCAACAGAGCTGTTACTGCTTGGCCTTCATTACGTGCTTTATCTTGAAGAATCGGGGCGGTAGGTACATGTAGACTAATGCTTAGTCTCTGAATATACATAAGTTTGATAGTAACAAACAAGCCCATTTAAATTGAAAAGGAGCCCCAGGGAGACCGGAGATTCAGAACCTTAGGAAATCTAGACTTGCTTAATTGAGGGCTTTAGCATTGCCGGGAGGGCTAGACAGTAGGGAAAACAATGTGGTTGAGAGACAGTGAGACAGACTAGGGCGGAGGGTACCCTTGTGGTTAAAGCGCTCGCCGGTCACGATTCCCCACATGGGTACAATGTGTGAAGCCTATTTCTGGTGTCCCCGCCGTGATATTGCTAGAATATTGCTAAAAGCAGCAAAAGCTTTACTTACTCACTCACACACTAGACTTGAGATGGTCCCTTTTTAAATATAGGGTCTGAGAGACTGACCACCAAATCAAAGATACCATCATCCAGTAATTTCTTGTTTGTTTAGGGATGATGGGGTAGCCTAGTGGTTAAAGCGCTCGCCTGTCACTGTGATTCCCCACATGGGTACAATGTGTGAAGCCCATTTCTGGTGTCCCCAGCCGTGACATTGCTGGGATATTGCTAAAGGCGGCGTAAAACATGCTTAAAACATACTCACACACTCACTCACTGATTCACTCACTCTTAAAGAACAAGTCAGCAAATGTTCTCAATCTAGGGGCAGCTAGGTGGTAAGCAGGCCGACCAGTGGTTGATAGTGTGATGAGACGTCAATAGGGTTTATGTTGACGATGACACACAATTAGCAAAGACACAGGAGATTGGCCGTCAGAGACCATTTAGTCTAGGGGTAGGGGTAAGGGTTGAGCTCTCAGGACAGAGCTAGGGGTATGATGGTTGCGGTAGACATAGGGTAAGGTTTGAGGGGGGTGGGGCTGAGGTGGGAGCTAGGGCTAAGGGTAGGGAGCTGGGGGTAGGCTAAGGAGTAAGAGGCCCAGGGCCAGAGTATGGAGGAGAGCTAGGGGAGAGAAAAGTGTAGGGGTAGGGATAAGGGTAGAGTAGAGGTAGGGCCGGGGATAGAGTTAGGGCTAGGGCTGGGGTAGGAGTAAGGGTTGGGGTAGAGCTAGGGGGTAGGGTAAGGGTTGAGGTAGAGAGGTAGGGCTGGGGATGGAGTTAGGGCTAAGGGTTAGGAGTAAGGGTTGGGGTAGACTGACTGACTGAGTTTGGTTTTACGCCGCTTTTAGCAATATTCCAGCAACATCACGGCAGGGGACACCAGAAATGGGCTTCACACACTGTGCCCATGTGGGGAGTTAGAACCCGGGTCTTAGGGCGTGAGTTGAGCCAACGCTTTAAACCATTAGGGTACCCCGCCGAGCCCTGGTTGGGGTAGAGGTTGGGGTAGAGCTAGGGGAAGGGGAGCAGTAGAGCTAGGGGTAGGGTAATGGTTGAGGGGTAGAGCTAGGGGTAGTTGATGCATGGGTGACGTCGGTCACCAAGGCAGTGTCGTCATTACAAAGAGCAGTGACGTCAAGCAAATATTGTACTACAGTACAAATCTCTTCCACCAACCTCTTTATGAAACTGGTTCAGTTTGAAACCATAAAAATATAAAAAATACGCTATTTTGTCAATTTAATGTATGTAAGACGTGGGTAATAGATAAAATACCACACTCGGTCACATTACATACGAAATTATACGAAACGTCACGATGCATGTCAGTTGTCATCGCCTCGTACAGCCTCCTACAGTAAACTACTCCGTATCACCCCGTTTCTTGGTTTGCAGTTGCTTCATTCGGCTAAGATCACTGGTGGAAACATTGCGTTTTAGTTTTTCGACGGATATGTTGTCTCAGTTCGACTCACAATTAAACAGCGGCACGGCAAACGTTCGCAATGTTTACATTCCCTCAATGCATTTAAGTTTGTTATGAATGAAAAAATAGTTACGTCGAAGCTTCAATTTGGCGTGTTAAACCTGTCTTTTCTCTGATATCAAGCTGATACTTCGAGATACCACTGAACTATTACACAAGCGGCGGGACCACAGCGTATCTCTCAAAGTAATATGATATGAACAACTATCCCTATACTTCAGTCGGTAACCGACCCGTGAAGATCCGGGTTAGAATTGGTCTTCAGCAACCCATGCTTGTCGTAAGAGGCAACTGGGGGGGATTGGGTAGTCATGATCAGGCTCGCTGACTTGGTTGACAAATGTCCCGATTACCATTGTGTAGATGAATTTCATAATGCCAATCACTGGATGCTGTTTTTCAGATTCAACTATTGCGTAGATCGATGCTCATGATGTTGATCACTGGATTGTCTTGTCCAGACTCGATTTTTTACAGACCGCCTCCATATAGCTGGAATATTACTGAGTGTGGCGTTAACCAACCATCAAACAACGAACAGTCGATAACGTCTCACAATACCAGCTGACACAACTAAATATGCCACGCTCGGTGTGTTAAACGTCCCCGTATTGCTTCAGCTGTACAGATAATTTCGTCAGTTGCTACACGTTGTTTACAAACAGTGAACCAGTAGGCGGTACTAGCTGTTTCAGGAAGTGTGACTGTCACTAACCAATCAGAGAGCGTCTGACCGGCGTGCTAGCCAATCGATGTATGCCACGCTGCTTAGAGGTGTGTTGTGTGGAGAACTAGTCGCATTAAGGCTCAGCTTATAGAGGCTGCTGTTTATTCATTGTTGACAATGAATTTGTAGAAATAACCGTGGCGCTACGTTTGTGATCTAATATCTTTGGAGAAAACGCACAGATGATGCAAGTACGAAGCAGCAGTCACCACCATCTTCAGTTGTGTTTCATTCGCAGAGGTAAGTGTACTAATTTTAACGCGGCATTTGACTTGTTATGCTGGTACTAGTGAAAATTAGGATCGTACCCGAAACGAAAGAAATATGTTGACTGTGTGGACTGTGTAATTCTTCATCATAATTTGTTAGGGAGGATGTGGGCTTTACGGGATTTGTCTCATACCCCGCTTTTGTCAATCACAACTAACTCCAACGGCATGAACGACATTTTCACGAGGCAGTTTCCTTAACGGAAACGGTGGATACTGAATCTCTTGAGTCAGTTTACATCCTTGTTACGGGAGGATACAACACTGGTGAAACTAGTCGTGTATTGATGATATTGATGAACTAAATTGTTTTAACATTCAAATAGCATGTATACTTTGATGTTGGAGACAATGTATAAAAAGGGATATAAATGATCAGGGATATAGGGATATCAGTGATCAGGGATACAGGGATACAGGGATATCAGTGATCAGGGATACAGGGATATCAGTGATCGGGGATACAGGGATATCAGTGATCAGGGATACAGGGATATCAGCGATCAGGGATACAGGGATATCAGCGATCAGGGATATCAGGGATATCAGTGATCAGGGATACAGGGATATCAGTGATCGGAGATACAGGGATATCAAGTGTCTTTTAAGTAAAAGGAACATTTTTTCAACGAATGAATGAGGGAGGGAGTTTAGTTTTAGACCCCTTTTAGCAATATTCCAGCAAAGTCACGGCGGGGGACACCAGAAACGGGCTTCACACATTGTACTCATGTGGGAAATCGAACCAGGGTCTTTGGCGTGATGAGCGCGCGCTTTAACCACTAGGCTACTCCCGATCCACCGCCCACTCAACGAATGAATATGTCAAGGAGATATGCATCACTACGCACAATATGAACGTAAGGTAATCTGCGCATTTTGTATGTTACATTTTGATGGATTTATTTCTTAAAAGGGTAACAGTAATGGGAACACCATCAATAGAATGCATCACTCGTGTTTTGGAAAATATGAAATAATAACCTAGTCTCCTTTAATCGGTTAATATTATCCATGTGAAAACACAGATGATAAATGCTCTACGTATTTTCCGCCATTTTCCTTCATTATTATACTGAATTAATATTCCAAATATTGGCCATCGTGCCCCTTCGACTCTGGACTTAGTAATCCAATTTCCAGAAATACGCGAAATATTGCTGATTTAAATTCTGCGTGAAGAAAACAAAATAAAGATGTAGTCTCATGTTATTTGACATGCATCTCTCCAAAATGTCGACTGTAACCAGTGTGCGAAATAGCCACTAGCCCGTTGGCCTGTGACTTGTGAAAATCCAGTCGGGCCAGTAAATCTCCAGTCACTGGCCCGACTAGCTAGTGAATTTTCATGGGGTCATTTTGGAAATATATCACTCTCTCTGACTTGTTAGGATATAATAAACTTTTAAATCGTACAAGATTATGGCCTGGTAAAAATGATCATCCACATTAGCAGCTTAATGATGAAACCCGTGTCAACATTCACATTTCGGGCGAGTGAATTATTTTGTGGGCAAGTAACTTTCAGGCATAGCTACCCTGATTGACTAGCAACATTTGGAAACTATTTCGCACACTGTCTGTCACATGTATAATCACCATGGAAATCTTTTTCAGAATACAAGAAGCTGTTACTGCGAGCTACGTGAAGGTAACAGTCACATGTACGCAGAGGCTATGTGCGTGGCGCTGTTGCTAGGGGCAACATGCAGTCCCGTGCAAGCAGTTACAAACAGTGAAACACCCTCCACTAACGACAACACCGAGAAGTTACGAACTGTAATAGCAATAGATTTTGGAACAGACTATACCTGGTAGGTCCTTTTTGATTGGTCCACACTCAGTCGTATTTTGTTTTAAACAAAATCCATTTGCACCATTCCCAATGAAAAACACTTCGGATAAATGAATAAATTTTATGGCGATACGCCCATCTGTACACATAAAGCTGTTCTCAACGGCAGGCACCAGAAAGGCAGATTTCAGTGTAACATTCACATTCTCAGTAAAAGAGATTCTAGTTATATTAACAGTTGTCTGACTTCCAGTTTGGTGGAAACCGCGATGGCTGAGTGGGTTAGATAGCCGACTTTGTGTACCGGCGATTAGGCGCCTGACTCTGAGGGTGTGGGTTCGAATCCCTGATGGGATTCAACCCAAAACGTACTAATTAGAATCTGTACTTAACTGAGAAAATGTAATCCCAAATAAAACATGTTACATTTTGCCACTGTGTATTCATAGGTTTCGGAATGTGTAGGCTTAAGGAATAGGTCCAAAACAACCTTTGCTGGTCGTTAAAGGCGACAAAAGGTGATGTTGTAGTTAGGCTGGGTCACTCTGATGATTGCATTGTATTTAAATTACGTCGGATCATGTTCATGATATCAATCACTCGAATATTTACAGACAGCCGTCTTTTTGCTGGAATATTTCTGAGTTCTGATTTCTGATTTCATCTTGGATTGACTGTGTGGCTAGCAGCCATTTTGTCCTCTCCTTTCATTTCACTGGACGTCTGTCTAGATAAACGACAGGCTGTGACTGAAGGAAACGTAAGATAGCATCCATACATACTTGGTCCATTAGTACATGAAGTGTCTTAAAGTTAAATTGATCTCGTCCAAAATAGGATCGGAAGTAAAGTTTGTTGTAATTTTAATCGCCAAACTAATTTTTCCGAGGACACGTCACTGTGTTTGGGAATTATGGACGTCAGGCACGCGCATCTATCTTCGTAAATGTTAGAAGCGTACGTACGGTAGCTGGAGCAACAAACAAACGAACGTCAGTCATGTGTCATTACGATCACTCTCCACTATACCCTGGATGCTGAGCCAGCAAACGGAGGTAATATAATTATCGGACCAAGCCGTGGATGCATCCAGGGTATAGTGGAGAGTGATCGTAACGTATACTCTGGAGATTATAGAGGATGGTCATGTGTAAGATTCGATAATGGTTAAAAAACCTGTTGTTTTTTTCTATACGAAGATATGTTATTGACAATAAACTATAAATCATCATTTGTCCTGAGATGACCCTGCGCAATGGACGAATGCCCAGTATGGTGAGAAAATCACAGAATCATAGTTGGGGTCACCCACGGATTCGAACCACGACCATATGAGATTCTGGCAGAGGTTAATAAATAAACGGACAACCTCACTGTACTCTCTGATCACCAGTGTGCCAAAATACATAGCTAACGTATTCTCTTTAACAAGGAAATGGTATACATTCAAGTGAAAAACATTGAAATGTTAACGTTTTGTGCTTTCAGTGTAGCTGTGGGTGAGAACGATCATGTTGAGATCATCCCCAATGAACAGGGGAACAGGGTAACCCCCTCGTATGTAGCGTTCACCCCGGATGGGGAGATACTGATCGGACACGCCGCTAAGAACCAAATGACCACAAACCCCGAGAACACCATCTTCGACGTCAAACGTCTGATTGGTCGCACATGGGATGATCCGTCCGTGCAGCGCAATATACAACGATATCCTTTCAAGGTAGGTGGAATATGCATATATGTGTGTGTGTGTGTGTGTGCGTGTGCGTGTGTGTGCGTGCGTGCGCTCACGCTCATCTCACAGAAAAAATTGCGTATTTTGAACGGTGATCGCAAGACTATCCTGTCAAAATTTTGGCCTCGAAATCTTCAAGTTAAATAAGACCTGCGCCACTCTGGTCTACCTAACTGTAATTACTTACGCGAGTTTTATATGTCTTGTATGGAAGGCGAGTGGAAACCACAGCATCAGTACAATCCAAGATATATCAGAGCTGCATGTAATGTGTGTTAAGGCTTCATGTACTGTGTGTCAAGGCTTCATGTATTAGTATGTGTCCAAGGCTTCGTGTAATGTGTGTCAAGGCTTCATGTAATGTGTGTCAAGGCTTCATGAATGTGTGTCAAGGCTTCATGTAATGTGTGTAATGTAATGTGTCAAGGCTTCATGTAATGTGTTAAGGCTTCATGTAATGTGTGTCAAGGCTTCATGTAATGTGTGTCAAGGCTTCATGTAATGTGTGTCAAGGCTTCATGTAATGCCTATCGGAACTGTATGAAAAATGGGCGCTGGGGTAGCGTAATGGTTAAAGCGTTCGCTCGTCACGTCGAAGACCCGGGTTTGATTCCTCACATAGGTACAATGTGTGAAGCCCATTTCTGGTATCCCCCGCCGTGATATTGCTGGAATATCGCTAAAAGAGGCGTAAAACCATTTTCACTAACTCACAAATATACAGGTGAGCCAGGTTACGGTTTGGTCAAAGAAGAATACATGTTTATCACCAGGTAATAAAGGTAATAAACACGGGGTCAAAGAAGAATACATGTTTTTAAACACGGGCCAAAGCCAAAGAAAAACACAAGTTTACCTACCAGGTAATAAACAAGAAATTAATAATCAAATTTGGTCAAAGAAGAACACATGTTTATCCACCAGGTAATAAACAAGAGATTAACAATCAGATTTGGTCAAAGAAGAATGCATGTTTATCCACCAGGTAATAAACAAGGAAAACAAGCCGTACATAGAAGTAAGAGTTGGCTCAGAGGGCAAAGTGTTCGCTCCCGAGGAGATCGCAGCGATGGTGTTGTCGAAGATGAAGGAGATAGCAGAGAACTACCTTGGAGAAAACGTCACCCACGCCATCGTCACCGTCCCTGCCTTCTTCAACGACGCCCAAAGAATGGCAACCAAAGACGCTGGCACCATGGCTGGGATGAACATTCTACGTGTTAGCAACGAACCGTCAGTATTGTGATGTATATTCCTATCAACGCTACATCTATATCACTGGGGCAGTGGGGTAGCCTAGTGGTTGAAGCGTTCGCTCGTCACGCTGAAGAACCGGGTTCGAATGCCCACATGGGGAAAATGTGTGAAGCCCATTCCTGGTGCAAACCCCCACCCCCACCCCACCCCTTCGCCTTCAGTGTTTCGCGAACTGTTTTCGGCCATATAACATTATGATAACGTTGTTAACAGTTTGGTGAAATCCAATTCCCAAGTGCATATAAACACGCTGGTAGTATATATTTGAGTATTTGAGTGAGGCAGATGATGTTTAACTTACCATTCAAATTTGGCGGCCATCTTGATTTAGCCTCTTGAGTTTGAGCTACCAATTTGAGATGGCCATCATACTTTTTTTATTTATAGAGTCATAAAGGAATATATAAACAGTTTTGGTCCCTCTCAGTGGTACAAATATGTCAATTATCAGCTCCTGGCACAAGGCCTATTATTCATGTAGCGACCAAGTAATTTAACTCGTTCAGTTAAATGGTGAAATTATTTAATCTGAGACATCAATATCTGTATTAATAAATTGATATGAATTGATGATGATAATGATGATGATGTTGATGATGATGATGATGATGTTGATGTTGATGATGATGATGTTGATGATCCTAATACAAACATGTATATTGTAGATCTGCTGCCTCTATAGCGTACGGCCTTGACAAGTTAGATGGAGAAAAGAACGTACTGGTGTTTGACTTGGGAGGGGGAACGATTGAAGGGTCAATCCTAACCATCGACAATGGCGTTATCGAGTTGGTGGCCACCAATGGCGACACGCATCGAGGTAAGGATGTGGACAGTGCTGCTGCCGACGTAGTTCACCTGGATCTCATCCTACTGCAACACATGGCTACTGACATGATAGGTACAGGTGATCCTCCGTGGTCACTGTGTAGAGTTACTTCCCTTAGGCGAGCAAGGAACCTATGATCATATGATCGAATCGCAGATTCATCCAGATGAGTTTGACCAATGTGAACACTAGTAATACCATCATTGCTTTGCACATTCCTCACATGTCTATTTAACATGCAATAATTTGTTTGTCGTAGCATCGCTATACCAATTTGTTTGCTCTACATTTATTCTCTTGTGTAAACTATTCTATCAACAAATAACATCACTTTTAAGACAATACAACATAGTGCCGTATATTGTATATGGCATTACATGTCTTCCATACATTCTCTGTCAGGTGGTCAATACATCGACCAGAGACTGATAGAGTACTTTATCAAACAATACAAGACGAGGACGGGGCAGGACCTACTGGAGGACAGCGGGGCCATCCAGAAACTGCGTCGTGAGGTGGAGAAGGCGAAGAGAGCCCTGTCATCCCAGCATCAGACTCGGGTGGAGATCGAGTCTCTTATGGGCGGCCATGATTTCTCCGAACACCTCACTAGAGCTAAGCTGGAGGAACTGTACGTAGTACGTACAGCTATACTGATAGAATAACATAATCGTGCTTGCAGATGCTAGATCATATTAAGGTGTGAGGTGATATACATGCACTATTATGGTGCTTGGTCATACAGGTGGAGTATTACAATATTGTCATAAGTATAACATAGGTATAACATAGGTATTGCAGTGGTGGTAAGTTGCAGACATTCTTTTGAACCGTGAATATCCGGGTTAGAATTGATCTTCAGTAACCAATGCTTGTCGAAAGAGGGATCCACTAACGAGATTGGGTGGTCAGGCTCACTGACTTGGTTGACACATATCATCGTGTCCCAATTGCATTTACATATGAACCCTTTTAAAATAACGGTTTCTTTTGTCAGGACCTGTTTGAATCAACTTTAAACTACATGCAGTCCGCTTTAGAAGAGGAATACTTGAACAAGACGGACATCCACGAGATTGTTCTGGTCGGAGCAGCAAGTGAGATACCCAAGGTTCAGCAACTGGCCATGGAATTCTTTGATGGGAAGGTGAGCAACATAACATCGTTCGCAAAACGAATCGCATATCAGCTACGTTCAAAACGTAGAGGAGTAAGTTGCACAGCTCTGTGACTTCTCCACACCAGTGAAGATCCGGGTTAGAATTACATGTATTTACCATTTTATTTACCCGTGCTTGGCTAAGAGGCGACCCAAGGGATCAGGTCGTCAGACTCGCTGTCTTGGTTGACACATTCCGTAGATAGATCACAATTGCGTAGATCGATGCTCATGGTGTCAACCACTGGATTGTCTGGTCCAGATTCGATTATTTACAGACCACCAGATATCGTTGGGACATTGCTGAGTGCAGCATCAGTAGTCACGGGACTGTTTGGTTCAGACTCGATTATTTCAATACCGTGGCGATTTAAGTGGAAGATTGCTGAGTGCGGTGTTAAACAAAAACAAACAAATATCCAACCGGCGCATAGGTACTGATGGCTAGACAGACTTAAATCGACTGATGATTATACTTCTTGCTAGCATAGTGTCTCACGAAACAAGATATATCATCTCATGTTCCTAATTCATTATTTTCCTCATAATGAATTCACTCTTTCGAACGCAGCCCCGATGACAGGTGAAAAGAATACTGTCTCGTCAATCACCTTGTATTGCCAGCGATGCAATGTCATGTTTGAACAGTTCCTGTCTCACATACATGGGAATAACCACCCATGTGTATTGCCTGGGAGTTCCCTGGGTCAAGGCTAACGCTGTGGCTCCTGTATTCCAGGCACCAAAGAAAGGCATTCACCCGGAAGAGACAGTAGCCTACGGAGCAGCCCTTGTTGCAGCATTTTATGCTACCTACGACGAGACCAAGGATGAATGTTTTGATATCATAGAAATCAATCACTTGAGTCTCGGCATCGAGACCATTGGAGGCGTCATGTCAAAGATCATCAGTCGGAACACAGTCACTCCTACCAAGAAGACACAGCAGTTCACAACAATAGAGGACGACCAGGATGTGATGGAGGTCCTTGTCTATGAAGGCGAGAGAGCCATGACGAAGGACAACCATATCCTCGGGAAGTTTGAACTCAAAGGAATTCCTCCAGCGGCGAGAGGGGACCCCCAGATCGATGTTACATTTGAGATAGACGTGAATGGTATATTGACGGTCACGGCCGAGGACGTAGAGACGGGAAATAAGAATAGCATTGCCATTCAGGACCTCCACGGAGATGCACTCTCGCCTGAAGATCTGGAGAAGATGATTCACGATGCTGAGGAGTTTGCTGAGGAAGACAAAGAGATGACGGAGAAAACGGAAGCTGAACTTAGAGCCGGGGATAAATGGACGAACAGAAAGGCTGTGAGAAGGAAACCCATCATATCAGGTGACCCGGAGGATGTTTCCCGTGACGAACTCTGAGGGAGGAATTGGAACAAGGAGATGAAAGAATGATGCTGGAAACTAAAGATGCATGGATGTTGTGAGGGGAAACTTATTTATATTCTCAATGTATATTAAGTTTTGGTGTTGAATCATCAAGAAATTTCTGAATAAGATTGTGTGAAATGTGTTCCTGTAACTATGTAGAAAATGAGTACGACTTCTTATTGATATGCACTTCTTATCATGATTTCCCTGTCGATGTTCCACCCATCCAACCCTGTGTCAGTTTAACCGCCTGATGAGTAATGATAGTCCACTGGTCTTAAGAAATCTTGCCATGTTCATCTTCTCTGCTAATAATTGTCATCGCTGCAGCTTAAAGGCTGCTAATATATAACTTTGTATCATGGGCCGATGGCCTACATTCACATGAATAAAGAGAGAGAGAGTGAGGAAGGACACACTACAACGATAATGGATGGTTGAGAGTTTTATCTATATCCCTAGCTCTGTACCGACGACATATGCTATGCATAATGCGAAGGTGAGAGATAGCTCAGTTGATATATGTGTATGTGTTGTATGAGGCCATTCGTCACCACTCGGCCCTTTCCGTAACCTCCAGGACGCTGTTCGGCTTGTCCCGGAATAACACGAGTTGGTCACGAATGGTATGGGGCTTCCCATTAATGAAACACTTTCTCAGTCCTGCCCGTCAAACGAATCATCATGTTTGTCCAGGAGAAGAGTTTATCTATACATTTTTTGTACATTCATTTGTGTATTTAGATTTTGGTATACAGGTGTAGACAATACAAGGAGTGTATATGTACATGTGTGTAATATAGAAAATAAAATATTTCTTCATTTACACCTGGACATGTGTGATATATAAATAACGAAGAGTACACAAACACGTGTGTGATGTGGGAAATAGAAACTTTGTACATTTACAAGTGTATGATGTAGAACATATATGATTTGTACATTTACACGTGTGTGATGTAGAAAATATATGATTTGTACATTTACAAGTGTGTGATGTAGAAAATAAAAGATATGTGCATTTAAACGTGTGTTATGTAGAAAATATATGATTTGTACATTTACAAGTGTATGATGTAGAACCTATATGATTTGTAAATTTACACGTGTGTGATGTAGAAAATATATGAGTGTGTACATTTACAAGTGTGTCAGGAACAAAATAAAAGATTTATAAATGTAGACGTGTGTGACGTAGAAAACAAATGATAAAAATATACACATGTGTAATCGTACGGACAGCGTCATCGGGGCGTTAGCAGTACCATTCCTGCAAGCTATGCATGGCCTTTATGGTCGACCCTCTTAACTGCAAGCCGACAACGCTAGGCCTCATAGGGCCAGGATTGTCACAGAATTCCTAAGGCAGCACGGTGTGCTCGCCAGACCTCAGCCCAATTGAGGGAAGGGATGAACTCGGTCGACGTGTATACAAACGTCACCCAGGACCAGTGAATCTCCCAGGATTCCGCAGAGCTCTAGCAGAGGAATAGGAATGAGATTCCCAAGCTTTCTTTATGAACTTGATAAGGATCATGAGAACAAGGTGCACCTGTGTCTTGGACGCGCAAGGAGGGTACACAAGATACTGAATGACTGGGTTCTTCATGTTTGTCATTTTCATTTTAGGGTGTTGGTGTAACTGATGTGGGCTAGTGCTGTATGAACTGTTTGAGCTTTCTGTCTACATGTCACGATGTTTACATTGCTATATATCATTTGCCTCTTTATTAAGACGCCTAGAATAGTTTAGGGTGATTGTGAATTTAATTTAAACAAGAAGGGTCGTGTAGGAGAACACACTATGGTCCACACTATACCTCTCGCGCCTCAAAGCTTAGCTTGGAGATAGGCAGTCTATGGTCCACACTAAACCCCTCTCGTTTCAAGACTTAGCATGGAGAAATGCAGTCTGTGGTCCACACTGTACCCATCTCGCCTGAAGGCTTAGCTTGGAGAAATGCAGTCTATGGTCCACTCTGTACCTATATCTCGCCTGAAGGCTTAGCTTGGAGAAATGCAGTCTATGGTCCACACTGTACCCATCTCGCGCCTGAAGGCTTAGCTTGGAGAAATGCAGTCTATGGTCCCACTGTACCCATCTCGCCTGAAGGCTTAGCTTGGAGAAATGCAGCCTATTGTCCACACTGTACCCATCTCGCCTGAAGCCTTAGTTTGGAGAAATGCAGTCTATGGTCAAGGTTTAGCCTGTAGTCTGAGGACATGCGCAGCGTGGTTCCCTTGACACTAAAACTGGGTAGTCCAAAGATGACTGCCATGTCAACCATGTTACGTTCAAAATCAGAACTCAGTAAGCAGGGTGATCCTATATGAATAATGGCATGCAAATTCAAAATGGGAAACACGTTTATTGCATACAGAAGAGTGTGTTTCCTCTACCAAGAGAGAAAATATATTCTGGCCACATCGTATGGCTCTGAGTTTTTGAATAACTCAATGTGTGGACAAACCGTGAACAATAACTTCTGTCATAAGATAAACTACAGACAACGATAATTTACACACGCTCACAAGCAGCTTGGTAGTATGTACGTACGACATACAGACATCTATTATTCTTATGGCGTAGTGTGTTTGCTTTTGGGCATCATCAGAGATATCGGGGTGTGGGTGGATATTGGGGATGGGGGGTTGAGAGGGGTAGGGAGAGTCGGAGAGAGGTTGATCTTAAACTTAAAGCACTTTCACAAGGACGTGTGTGCGTGTGCGTATGCGTGTGCCCTCTTGTCAGTATGTGGTTGTACATAAAGACAATGCTAGCTTTGTAATCAACCTGATGATATCAACAACAGAACACCATTTAGCTAACCACTAATCGTGAACTTTATCAGAAAATAGGACAGTTAAGACAAATGTATCATATCACAAATGTATACCCAGTCAGCATACTGACAAGGTTATGATCTCTTCTGTGGGATGACTTCACGCCCTGCTTCACCTGCAACTGATACAAATTACCAGGTCACATATACAACAGAGGATTGCACACCACAGAACGGACCGATGAAAGTACATGACATAGCAAGATCAACTGGAGTATTGTACAACTTCATGTATATTTCGCAGCTTTATGGAATGGACTGAACGAGGTTTTACGCTGGTTTTACAGTTGCAGGTACATCACGTGGCAACTTCTATTAGACAGGCAGGTATTCGGACCTGAATGGTATACACTCATTCATTACTTCTTTGCTTCATAATTTAATATTTACATCTTCCTTCATCCATTTATTACTTTTTTACAGCATTCGTTCATTCACATATTCATTCTTTACTTCATTTATTCATCCATTACTTCTTTGCTCCATTCATTACTTCGTTCATACCTTCTTTATATCATGCATTCATTACAATTGTACTATATTCATTTTACTAATAAAAACATAAAAATACATGTGCATACTTAAAAAACTAATAACATTTTCATTAAAACTACTTACACTTCCCATATTGTATAATGCATATGCGTGTGTGTATGTTGAGTATGTTGCTACGTAATCATATAATTACATAAACATGACTTATCCATACATACATCCATCTATTCATTCATTACTTCTTTACTTCATTCATCATTCATTCTTTCATTACTTTTTACTCTATTCTGTACTTGATTACTTCATTCATTACGTCATTCATTACTTCATTCATTACTTAATTATTTCATATTTGGCGTAAGGCTAGATGCTAGAACCCATCAGACTCGTTCACTAAATTAAGCGTCGTCTCAGCAAACACAATGTATTCTGTACAAAGCCAGGACATGTGAAACATTTCATTTCTTCACAGTTTAAAACGAAGGGAGATGTCCATACACTGACACACATACACACGTACAGACACATAGACCCACAAGCAATTCCACACTCATTCCCTACCCTATGAATTCAATTCCAAAGATATTTAAATCTCTTCACGTTAAACGTTCTCAGAGGTGTCTTATAGTATAAGTTGAAGTGTGTCCTTCCGCACGACATCCATGTGTCTTTACTTTCCAGCACTACTGTCTCATCTTCCAATTCTGGTCTTACAGTTGCAGGTAGGGAATTCATCTATGTACACATGCATGCAATCGAAGGGTAGACCTTGATTCATTACTACGTAATTTCATTCATTCATTACTTCTCTACTTCATTTATTCATTCCTTCAGTACTTCTTTACTTCATTCATTCAGTATGACGTCATACTCAACTTCATTCATTCATTACTACTTTCATCCATTCATTTATTACTTCTTTACTTCATTCATTCATTACATCTTTTTGTGACTTCTTTACCTCATGCATCAATTACTCCTTACTTCATTCATTACTTCTTTACTTCATTCATTCATCCATTATTTCTTTACTCCATTCATTCATTGATAAAAACATAAAAATATATTATGTGCATGCTTGAACAACTGATAACACTTTCATTAAAAAAAACCTAACAATTCCCATATTGTATATATGCATGTGTTTGTGTGTATGTTGCGCTTTGTTACTTAATTATATGTTTAGATAAACATGACTCATCCATCCATTCATTCATTACTGCCTTTATTCTTTCATTTCATCTTTCATTCTTTCATTACTTCTTTACTCTTCATTATCTTATTCATTACGTCTTTGATTACTTGATTCATTACGTCATTACTTCAGTCATTAATTAAATTATTCCTTCTTTCATTATGTCACAATTTCATTCATTACTTGATTCATTACTTATCAATGATTATTTCTTGTGTGGTGGTCCACTAAATTATGCGTCGTCTCAGCAAACAATATATTCTATATAAAGCCAGGACATGTGAAACATTTCATCAGTTCACAGTTTAAATGAAGGGATGCGCGCACACACACAGAACAAACACACAACAGGAGATACACAGACACACATACACGCACACGACAGACACACAGCGGGAGATACAAAGACACACATACACACAACAGACACAGCGGGAGATACACAGACACACATACACGCACACACACAACAGACACACAGCGGGAGATACACAGACACACATACACGCACAGACACATATACCAACAGGCAATACACACTATATCCCTACCAGTTCCATATTGATTCAGTTCCAAAGATATTTAAATCTCTTCACGTTAAACATTCTCTCAGTTGTCCGATATTATAAGATGCAGTGGTTCCATCCGCACGACATCCATGTGTCTTTAGTTTCCAGTATTATTGTCTCATCTTCCTGTTCCGATTCTTCCCTCAGAGCTCATCACGGGACACGATCTCCGGGTCACCTGGTAAGATGGGTTTCCTTCTCACAGCCTTCCTGCTTGTCCGTTTATCCCCAGCTCTGAGTTCGGCTTCCGTCTTCCCCATCATCTCCTTGTCCTCATCAGCAAACTCTTCAGCATCCTGAATCATCTTCTCCAAATATTCAGGAGAAGGCCTCTCCGCTACGTCATACTTAATGACAATGTTGTTCTTATTTCCAGTTCCTATTTCTTCAGCTGTTACGTACACAATACCGTTCACGTCTATTTCAATGGTAACATTAATCAGAGGGACCCCTCTAGGCGCAGGCTGAATACCTGTAAGGTCAAATTGTCCCAAGAAAAGGTTGTTCTTTGTCATGGCCCTCTCGCCTTCATAGACCCGAATTGTCACTTCATCCTGGTCGTGTTCTGTTGTTGTAAACTGCTCTGTTCTCCTGGTGGGAATAAATGAGTTACGCCCGATGACCTTTGCCATGACGCCGCCAATGGTTTCAATTCCGAGACTCAATGGGCTGGAGTCGCAGAGTATGATGTCGTTGTCGCCATCCTCAGCCATGACTCTTCCATGAACAGCGGCTCCGTAAGCTACAACTTCTTCAGGGTTGATGCCTCTGTTTGGTTCCTGGAATACAAGTCAGAGAGTAAGCGTCCCCCTTGTAATGACTCACCACAGAGACCACACCCATAACCCACCCACATGTGAAATAATTGATCAACCTGCAGGTACGTACACATAGTGTCAGGCCATATCAAACCAAAATTGCCGTCTATCATATGTCATGCCGGGTATATCAAAGTATAACACAATGGTCTTCAGTGCATACAATAAAAACAACAGTTGGCACATATGGTACACAAATGAATATGTTAAATTATGTAGAATGAACATGTCAAAAAATATATAATGGATTTGTGAAAAGTATGTTAAATACATACGTAAAAGTATTCACAATGGACATGTCAAATACTTGCATAATGGACGTGTCAAAACTAGACATGTGAAGCGTACTATACACAATGGACTTATGGATACGTATATGTCAAACGTATGCTTCTCAGGTATGTGAAAAATATACATAAAAGATATGTGAATGTGGTTAATGTGGAAAGACTTTACAGTTTGCCAGGGTATCGAAATGCACGACCTAACGTAATGACTTTGGGCCCATTTGTACTTCGAAATCTGTTTCAGGGCTCGAAGACCATTCAGACATCAAGTTAATTTTAGCCTCTACATCCCATGCCCGCTTTACCTGTACACAAGGTAGCCGTGTATTTAGTACCTGAACCACGTCTGTGGATGGATGAGACTACAGGGAACTGATCATTACTTTGGAATATTTATTCCACCAACCTAACAGTGCTGGCAATGCTCAACCTGTACTCAAGGCAGTCGTGTCTCGTCACATACCCAGTACCTGAACCACGTTAGATGGCCAGTGAGTGGATGGATGAGACTTCTTGGAACTGATCTTGACCTTCAAGTATTATTCCACCAACCAAAATCCGTCAACTCTAACTGTAAATAGGTATCGCTTAACCTACCTGAACCTATATAACGAACACAGCTAAAACACGTCCAGTCTTGCAAGTCACAATACAGTGTTATGTTATTGAATTTAACTGACACTGAAGTGATTCTAATATCACCGAGGTCGACTCACCTTCCCATCAAGGAACTCCTTCACCAGTTGTTGAATCTTGGGTATCTCACTTGATTCTCCGACCATAACAATCTCATGGATATCCGTCCTGTTCAGATATGCCTCATCCAAAGCCGACTGCATATAATTCAAAGTTGATTTGAACAGGTCCTGACAAAAGAAAAAGTAAACAAATTAGATATAATATGATGATGCATCATCATTCAACTGCCTCAATACCTTAGTTATTGTGTATTAAGAGATACTGCTTGTAACCCATCGACTATCAACCGACTGGTCAGAGAACATCAGGCAGCTTTTGCTCAATACGTAAATTGTAATAACGCGGTAAAATGTAATAAACTGCGGCAAATTGTAATAACACCGCGGTAAAATGTAATACCGCGGTAAATTGTAATAAAAAACGCGGTAAATTGTAATAACTGAGCCGCGGTAAATTGTAATAAAAACTGCGGCAAATTGTAATAACTGAAACTGCGGCAAATTGTAATAACCCCTGCGGTAAAATGTAATAAAATACATTTCATTGCCTATTATGCAAAGGAAACATTCATGATGCTAAAATGTGAGACTAAGCTTTATAAAAATCCCTACCCGGACCTTGAAAACATCGGCATCTCTAAATCATTCTACTTTCCAAAGAAGGTCGAATTCCAGCTTTACAAAAATCAAACCCCGGACTTTGAAAACATCGGCATTAATCGAAAACGGTAACAAACTGCGGCAAATTGTAATAACAAGCGCGGTAAATTGTAATAAACTGCGGCAAATTGTAATAACTGGCGCGGTAAAATGTAATAACTTCTCTGATTCCTTCTAATTTCCAAAGAAAGTCGAATTCCAATGTTTGTTTCACTTCATTATGGTCAGATCTAATCATTGGGATGTTAAATGAATGAAAAAACCTGAAATATTTTGGGCTATTTCTATCATTCAAACTGAGAGACAGAAGTCGTAAATTCTAACAAACTGCGGCAAATTGTAATAACAAGCGCGGTAAATTGTAATAAAATCTCTGATTCCTTCTAATTTCCAAAGAAAGTCGAATTCCAGTGTTTGTTCGACTTAATCATGGTGACATTCCACCACTGGCATGTTAAAAGAACGAAAAAAGGCAATATTTGGGATTATTTCTATCAGTCGTACTGAGAGGCAGGTTCTGTAAATTCTAACAAACTGCGGCAAATTGTAATAACAAGCGCGGTAAATTGTAATAAACTGCGGCAAATTGTAATAACTGGCGCGGTAAATTGTAATAACATCTCTGATTCCTTCTAATTTCCAAAGAAAGTCGAATTCCAGTGTTTGTTTGCCTTCATTATGGTCAGATCCCATCACTGGGATGTTAAATGAATGAAAAAAAACCTGAAATATTTTGGGATATTTTCTGTCATTCAAACTGAGAAGCTTGAGCCGTAAATTCTAACAAACTGCGGCAAATTGTAATAACAAGCGCGGTAAATTGTAATAAAATCTCTGATTCCTTCTAATTTCCAAAGAAAGTCGAATTCCAGTGTTTGTTCGACTTAATCATGGTCACATTCCACCACTGGCATGTTAAAAGAACGAAAAAAGGCAATATTTGGGATTATTTCTATCAGTCGTACTGAGAGGCAGGTTCTGTAAATTCTAACAAACTGCGGCAAATTGTAATAACAAGCGCGGTAAATTGTAATAAACTGCGGCAAATTGTAATAACTGGCGCGGTAAATTGTAATAACTTCTCTGATTCCTTCTAATTTCCAAAGAAAGTCGAATTCCAGTGTTTGTTCGACTTAATCATGGTCACATTCCACCACTGGCATGTTAAAAGAACGAAAAAAGGCAACATTTTGGATTATTTCTATCAGTCGTACTGAGAGGCAGGTTCTGTAAATTCTAACAAACTGCGGCAAATTGTAATAACAAGCGCGGTAAATTGTAATAAAATCTCTGATTCTTTCTAATTTCCAAAGAAAGTTGAATTCAAGTGTTTGTTCGACTTCATCATGATCACATTCCACCACTGGCGTGTTAAAAGAACGAAAAAAGGCAATATTTGGGATTATTTCTATCAGTCGTACTGAGAGGCAGGTTCTGTAAATTCTAACAAACTGCGGCAAATTGTAATAACAAGCGCGGTAAATTGTAATAAACTGCGGCAAATTGTAATAACTGGCGCGGTAAATTGTAATAACTTCTCTGATTCCTTCTAATTTCCAAAGAAAGTCGAATTCCAGTGTTTGTTTGACTTAATCATGGTCAGATCCCATCACTGGGATGATATATGAATGAAAAAAAACTGAAATATTTTGGGATATTTTCTGTCATTCAAACTGAGAGGCTTGAGCCGTAAATTCTAACAAACTGCGGCAAATTGTAATAACAAGCGCGGTAAATTGTAATAAAATCTCTGATTCTTTCTCATTTCCAAAGAAACTCGAATTCAAGTGTTTGTTCGACTTAATCATGATCACATTCCACCACTGGCGTGTTAAATGAACGAAAAAAGGCAATATTTGGGATTATTTCTATCAGTCGTACTGAGATGCAGGTTCTGTAAATTCTAACAAACTGCGGCAAATTGTAATAACTGGCGCGGTAAATTGTAATAACTTCTCTGATTCCTTCTAATTTCCAAAGAAAGTCGAATTCCAGTGTTTGTTCGACTTAATCATGGTCACATTCCACCACTGGCATGTTAAAAGAACGAAAAAAGGCAATATTTGGGATTATTTCTATCAGTCGTACTGAGAGGCAGGTTCTGTAAATTCTAACAAACTGCGGCAAATTGTAATAACAAGCGCGGTAAATTGTAATAAAATCTCTGAGTCTTTCTAATTTCCAAAGAAAGTTGAATTCCAGTGTTTGTTCGACTTAATCATGGTGACATTCCACCACTGGCATGTTAAAAAGAACGAAAAAGGCAATATTTTGGATTATTTCTATCAGTCGTACTGAGAGGCAGGTTCTGTAAATTCTAACAAACTGCGGCAAATTGTAATAACAAGCGCGGTAAATTGTAATAAACTGCGGCAAATTGTAATAACTGGCGCGGTAAATTGTAATAACTTCTCTGATTCCTTCTAATTTCCAAAGAAAGTCGAATTCCAGTGTTTGTTCGACTTAATCATGGTCACATTCCACCACTGGCATGTTAAAAGAACGAAAAAAGGCAACATTTTGGATTATTTCTATCAGTCGTACTGAGAGGCAGGTTCTGTAAATTCTAACAAACTGCGGCAAATTGTAATAACAAGCGCGGTAAATTGTAATAAAATCTCTGATTCTTTCTAATTTCCAAAGAAAGTTGAATTCAAGTGTTTGTTCGACTTCATCATGATCACATTCCACCACTGGCGTGTTAAAAGAACGAAAAAAGGCAATATTTGGGATTATTTCTATCAGTCGTACTGAGAGGCAGGTTCTGTAAATTCTAACAAACTGCGGCAAATTGTAATAACAAGCGCGGTAAATTGTAATAAACTGCGGCAAATTGTAATAACTGGCGCGGTAAAATGTAATAACTTCTCTGATTCCTTCTAATTTCCAAAGAAAGTCGAATTGCAATGTTTGTTTGACTCCATTATGGTCAGATCCCATCACTGGGATGATATATGAATGAAAAAAAACCTGAAATATTTTGGGATATTTTCTGTCATTCAAACTGAGAGGCTTGAGCCGTAAATTCTAACAAACTGCGGCAAATTGTAATAACAAGCGCGGTAAATTGTAATAAAATCTCTGATTCTTTCTCATTTCCAAAGAAACTCGAATTCAAGTGTTTGTTCGACTTAATCATGATCACATTCCACCACTGGCGTGTTAAATGAACGAAAAAAGGCAATATTTGGGATTATTTCTATCAGTCGTACTGAGATGCAGGTTCTGTAAATTCTAACAAACTGCGGCAAATTGTAATAACAAGCGCGGTAAATTGTAATAAACTGCGGCAAATTGTAATAACTGGCGCGGTAAAATGTAATAACTTCTCTGATTCCTTCTAATTTCCAAAGAAAGTCGAATTGCAATGTTTGTTTGGCTTCATTATGGTCAGATCCCATCACTGGGATGATATATGAATGAAAAAAACCCTGAAATATTTTGGGATATTTTCTGTCATTCAAACTGAGAGGCTTGAGCCGTAAATTCTAACAGACTGCGGCAAATTGTAATAACAAGCGCGGTAAATTGTAATAAAATCTCTGATTCTTTCTAATTTCCAAAGAAAGTCGAATTCCAGTGTTTGTTCGACTTAATCATGGTGACATTCCACCACTGGCATGTTAAAAGAACGAAAAAAGGCAATATTTGGGATTATTTCTATCAGTCGTACTGAGAGGCAGGTTCTGTAAATTCTAACAAACTGCGGCAAATTGTAATAACAAGCGCGGTAAATTGTAATAAACTGCGGCAAATTGTAATAACTGGCGCGGTAAATTGTAATAACATCTCTGATTCCTTCTAATTTCCAAAGAAAGTCGAATTCCAGTGTTTGTTTGCCTTCATTATGGTCAGATCCCATCACTGGGATGTTAAATGAATGAAAAAAAAAACCTGAAATATTTTGGGATATTTTCTGTCATTCAAACTGAGAGGCTTGAGCCGTAAATTCTAACAAACTGCGGCAAATTGTAATAACAAGCGCGGTAAATTGTAATAAAATCTCTGATTCCTTCTAATTTCCAAAGAAAGTCGAATTCCAGTGTTTGTTCGACTTAATCATGGTCACATTCCACCACTGGCATGTTAAAAGAACGAAAAAAGGCAATATTTGGGATTATTTCTATCAGTCGTACTGAGAGGCAGGTTCTGTAAATTCTAACAAACTGCGGCAAATTGTAATAACAAGCGCGGTAAATTGTAATAAACTGCGGCAAATTGTAATAACTGGCGCGGTAAATTGTAATAACTTCTCTGATTCCTTCTAATTTCCAAAGAAAGTCGAATTCCAGTGTTTGTTCGACTTAATCATGGTCACATTCCACCACTGGCATGTTAAAAAGAAACGAAAAAAAGGCAACATTTTGGATTATTTCTATCAGTCGTACTGAGAGGCAGGTTCTGTAAATTCTAACAAACTGCGGCAAATTGTAATAACAAGCGCGGTAAATTGTAATAAACTGCGGCAAATTGTAATAACTGGCGCGGTAAAATGTAATAACTTCTCTGATTCCTTCTAATTTCCAAAGAAAGTCGAATTCCAATGTTTGTTTGGCCTGATTATGGTCAGATCTCATCACTGGGATGTTAAATGAATGAAAACAAATGGAAATATTTTGGGCTATTTCTACTATCATTCGAACTGAGA